GACCTGTCTAGTGGATGCTTTTCTCTTTAGTAGAGCTTGCGTCACCTGCAACCGGCCCATCGCTGCGGCACAAACAAGTGGCGTCCTGTTGTCACTTCCAACAGCATCGATGTTCGCCTTGTGGTTAAGAAGAAGTTCAACTACGCCCATGTGACCTTCTTCGCAGGCATGGTGCAGTGCTGTCATCATCGTTCCATCTCTGGCTTCTAAGTCGGCGCCATTCCAAACCAAAAATTCAACAACAGCTTCATGGCCCTCCTTTGCGGCAGTATGCAGCGGAGTCATTTGGTTTTCAGCGCGCGTGTTAACCTTAGCTAGACCGGCAATCAATATGTTTGCGGCTTCGAGTTGTCCATGTCCTGCTGCAACCCAGAGCGCAGTTCTGCCCCTGGAATTTAGGGCTTCCGTGTCGATTCCTTCCAAAAGAAGCAATTTGAGAATCTCACAATGACCGCGAGAGGCAGCAAGGTGCAGGGCAGTCGAACCTGACTTATCTGTGACATTTAACCGAGCGTTTTTTTGAAGGAGCAATTCAACGATTTGTTCGTTTCCACAATGCGATGCCACTAGTAATGCATTTCTTTGAGTATTTACGTGACAGGCTTCAATATCATGGCAACTTTCTATAAGCCTCTCAACATCTGAACGAGAGCCTGCCTGGGCTGTCTTGACAATAAGTGGCGCAGCAGCCCCCTCGGGTGTTGTTAGGTCGATACTGGTATGCATATCTCGTCCATTGATCCGCCGTGCTGCCATTGACCCGCCTGTTAGGCTTCGTATGGGAGCTTGAGCCACCGACTTAGAGCGACCTAGTTGCCGGAATGCTGCACGAATTTTTTCCCGCTTGGAGCTCGAAGAGCGGCTGATGGCGGAAGGAGACGCGGAGTCTGACTGCCACCTCTGGGATTGTGTTGAATTCAACTGAGCGTCAGAGGGTCTGAACGATACACTCTTACTATGGCCGTGTCCCGGGCGGATTGTGTCGTATGGTAGAACTGGCAGTACAACACTGCTTGCCCGTGACATATTTGGTCTGCTCACCGAGCCGCTGCCATAGCCTTCATCGGTACTCCGGCTGTCGTTGCCATTACTGGCAGTAGATTGTGTTTCCGTTCTTGACCACGAACGATGGAGTACACGACGATAAGGGGGAGAGGAAAGCAGTCTCCCATCGAAGTCAAAGGTAGTATCTCCGGACGAAGATTGGCGATAATTCAGGCTAGAGCTATCGGCGTGGGAGGCTGCGTAGCTGCTTGAGGACCGAAGTGTCGCTGTGTCACTGGCAACCTTCTGGATGATTTGACGATTCTCCGCTTTGCGAAGTAGTTCGACTTGCGCAGACGTCGATCGACTACGGTGGGTCAGCCCAAATTTACCGGACGTTAACCTGTAAACGGAAACTCACCATTGACAGGCCTGCACCAAAAGCTGTAGCGCGAGAACCTGAGCGTGTAGCCTGTCCTGATGAGCTCGCATTATGTCCTCATTCCATAAAATTTTTACACGAGTACCTATCCCAAACTGTGTGTCATTGCCCCTGATGAGGGCAGCGACCTGGTCGGATAGGACGTCCATGACGGCCCGGCAGCCATCCAGCGCAATAAAGAGACCCTCGTCATATTCATTTTGTTCAGCTGTATCACGAGTATTCTTTCTTGCCCACTCATCAAGCTGTGTAATAGCAGATTTGATGGTCACCAACTCTCCAATGAGTGCCCGAATTGTGAGATCTGCGTGGCTGAACTTCTCGCGCAACGTTGCTAACCCCGCAGCGATCTGGGTGATGACCTGCACAAGCTGAACTGCGCCAGAAATCACGCCAAATATAGAACCTGGATCCATAGGATTGTAGCCTGTTTCTACTCCAACGAAAGTATCATTTGAGGCTATGAAGGAAAGAGGAGTGTTGCGACAGGTCGTGTGTGCTTCCGTGACAGACAAGTTGACACCCTAAGAAGCACCAAGAGGGAAAGGCAATGAACAACATGCAGATCACACCTACCCCAGGGAAAGAAGACGATCTTCGGAGCAAAGAGAAGAGTCAAAATATAACAAGCATGACTTACATCGATGCTAATGGAGTGAGAAGCGTCCCCGAGTCCGCAGCTGCGGCATTGACGAGTCGAACCCCAGAAACAAAAAGCATTATCGAAGAATCGGCTTTGGGTAAATTAATAGGTAAAGGAACATTAATTAACTACAGCGGAGAATATATGTAGGCTGACAAGACATTGGGGATCGTCCGAAGCACAGCCACCAAGTCTAGGACAAGCCAGTCACACGGGCAGTGCATCTTCCTTCCTCATATTTTACAGCCACCTCCACTTGGACGAGATTGGACTAATGATGATTGATGGTCACTCAATATATAAAGACATTATTCGAAATACATAGCAAAACCGCTCTTTTGTACATGAATAACCATCCCAAACCGTCTACCGCACCTGGCAACTAGAACATAAATCCGCGGTAGGGGACAAAAAAGAGGAAAATTCTATCCATGCAAGAAAGGGGACCATAATGCTTGGGTATAAGATCATTTGAGGTTGAGAAATGTTCAGCGACTGCGACAGTAAACTGTTTAGGCCCCGATCTCGTTCTTGACCCATTTCTCCAACCCTCCCTTGGCAATGATTTCTTGCACATTGGGAGGAAGTTCACCTACCTGGTGTGTCCACTTAGGACCATTTTCTCCCTCCTGGACCTCAATGCGGCTTCTCCGGACATCCCAGGTTAGAGTCCAGCCAGTGCGGCGGGTAAGAGATTTGTCACTTCCTTCAGAGAAGATCTCACGGAGACGGTTGATGAGACGAGGAACCTCCAGACCCATCAGGGCATTGTTGATACTGTTGCGAGAGAAGATATTGCCAAAGCTTCCCGACACAACGAGCGGGATTTTCTTTGCCAGAATGGCGGTCGCTGCCTGCTCCCTGGAGCTTCCACAGCCAAAGTTGAAACCGGTGACTAGAATGTCACCTTCTTTGGCAATCGACGAGAACTGAACATCGTAGTTGGACATGCAGACCTGAGCCATTGTCTCTTGGGAAACATCATCTTGGTAGGTGTATTTGCCAGGATAGATACCGTCGGTGTTAATGTTGTCTGCATCGCAGAAAACAATTTCACCCGAGACACGCTCTGGAAATCCAGGGTATACCTCCGTAAGGGTATCACCAGATGGCTCTTCACTCTCTTCTGGAGCATACTGCTTCTCACCATCGGCAACCAAGTTATCAATCTGGCCAATTAATTTCTCCAAGGCTTGTTCAGCGGTAAGCATGCGATCCTCCTCCCGAATTCCGTCCCCTTCTCCACGTACAACTTCAGTCAAACCTTCAGGTGCCTGGTACCAGCCGGGGCCGCTGAGCTTTCCGGCCAAAGCGCTAGCGGCAACGACTTCGGGGCTACCAAGGTATGCTTTCGCATCGGTGCTACCCATACGGCCCTTGAAATTGCGATTCGAGGCGCTGATTCCTACTTCTCCAGCCTCTAAGAGACCGGTTCCCAGCCCAATACATTGTGCACATCCAGGCAGTAATGGCGTAGCTCCAGCATCTAGTAAGGCCTGCCAATCACCAGCTTCTTCCGCAGCTAATTGCTCAGGGATAGACGCAGCAGCGACATAGAACTCAACACCGTCGGCAATCTTGGGGACTTTGCCACCATTCTTTTCTGCAGCTTCCTTGAAGACTCTAGCAGCTGCAGCGATATCCGAGGCCCTCGAGTTGGTGCATGAAACGAGGTATGCCTTGTTAACTTTGATATTCTGGGCCTCCAGGTCCTTAAGAGGCGTGGCAACCTTGACGGAGTTTGGACCAGAAACGTAAGGGGAAAGTGTAGAAAGATCCAGGAAAAGCTCCTTAGCATATCTGGCGCCCTTGTCAGCAGTTAGAGGATTGGCAAACAGCTGCTCGAGGAGCGGGTGTGTGAAATGCTGGGGGGCTAGGGTCTTGAAGGGGCCTTCCGCAAGCCCCATGGCTGCTGTTGTAGCCTTGCCTTTCAGCCATCCTTTCAATACACTGTCAATTGGGAACAGGCCAGACAAGGCGCCCCATTCTGTCGTCATGTTGGCGATCGTTAACCGGGCATCTACCGGTAGACTGCGCATGGTCTCCTCGGAGCCAGTAAATTCAATTGCATGGTTCAAGACATCGTCCTTATCGAACAATCCACAAAGAGCGACGATCACATCTTTGCCGGTCACACCCGGTGGTAATACACCGGTCAAAGTGACCTTTGCAACGGGTGGGATCTGCCACCATGTCTTCCCAGTGGCCCAGATGCTAGCACCGTCCGTTCTCACGATTGGTGTACCCAAGCAGCCGACGCCACCGTACATGTTACTATGGCTATCGGAAGCAACCACAAGAGTACCGGGCCAAGCATAGCCTTCCTCCACCATGACTTGATGTCCAATACCTCTTCCGGCGGGATAAAACTCGACCCCCTGGTGCTTGGCGAAGTCTTCAATCTGACGATACTTCTGGAGGTTCTTCTCCGACTTGTTCTGTACATCGTGGTCGAGAGTCATCACAATCTGCTTAGGATCGTGTAGTTTTGTTGCACCAATAGACATGAACTTCAAAGCAACAGGCCACGAATTGTCGTGAGTCATACACCGGTGAGGCGAGATAGTGACATAATCGCCGGATTTGACGAACTTATCCTTGGCCAAACCAACGGAATATTTCTGAACAATCTTTTCTGTGAGTGTCTGCGGAACGGCCCTCGACGCCTGAAGAGAGGAGTAGACTGCAGCTGACGAGGGATCCTCCAATTGCGATTGGAAAATATCTTGGAAGTAGAACCTAGTGGAGGCGAACGCACGTCGTTGAGGAGTGCTCGGCACGCGCAGGGATGCCCAGCGCCTGCCAGGGCCACGGGACGGCATCAATCGAGACTGCATGGGGTCAGCTACACAATCAAGACTGTACGGTAGAAAGGACCTACAGCCATTCTTGCCAGGAGACGTTCAAGCGTTGAGCTTTCTTTGGGAGCGAAAGTCTGGCGAATGAGAAGAAGCGCATTATTTCTCACTCTGGGGAAGCGCCAGTAAAAGCGGCTAGTGCGCCAAGACTCTCCGCTATCGGAGGTCATGAGTCAAAGTTATCGACAAGATAATCTAATCCATTGATTTGAACCCATTCTATACTCCGTACCTCTATGCAAATATAATACAACTAACTATAATGCAAAAGAAGAAATATCTAGCCTTTCCCTTTGTCTTTTACAATCACTTGACCGTCCGGGAAGGTAGTTGTCAGAGTTTCCACACAGCCCAATCCTTCAGGTCAAGTTCCTTGATGATCCCTTGAAGCGGTCCTTGAAGCTCCATACCTTGCGCCCAGAGCTTCGGTCCAGCCATGTAGCTAATGAAGCCTTCCGGTCCCGAGACTAAGATCATCTTTCGATTCTGAGATCCCTCAGCCGAGGTAGCAGAGTCCGCAACGTCTAATATAGCTTTCTTCCCAATGAATGTGTTTTCCTCGTCAACAAAATAGTCCACCGTGACCTGTCCCGGATACTGAGACTTGAGAGCCTCGAGCTCTCTGACAATGAGAGAAGGGAGAGGAGTAGTACTCTCCACGGGGTCAGCCGGAGATGGGTCGGCTGGTGATGACTTCAAAAAGCCAGAGAACCAGGACGCTCGCGATCTAGACGTCATGGTATTATCATTTGTTCCACCAACACAGTCATCTCGTCTCCTATTTGCCCAAAGGATGTGTATCCTTGGTTTATGTGTTCCGTCCGTGCGGCCAAGGAGTGTATGTCCTGCCTGTAAGGCAGGAGCGATACCAGTCCCACCAGCAATGAAGAGAATCTGCTGCGTATCTAAAGGGATCTCACACTCAATTTGTGGACCACGCATCTCTATGCGAGTTCCAATGTCCAAACCATGCAAATACCGTGACATTTCGCCGAAAGGGTCCCTACGAATGAGAAACCGGAGCGACTCATCTTCTTCGACCGACGTAGGAGGGAGAGGTGTATAGTCTCTTCCAATCTGTAGCTGCGGCTGTTTAAACATCACACTCCAGACCCCCGTCTTCCAAGCTTCGTCATAGACCTGACAGTTATCACTGGCCGGCTTGGGCGCTTTGAGAGTAAAAACGCTACCAGTCGACGACACCGGCTCCTTTGAAACTAGGTAATATGGAGTAAATGTTATGGGATTCAGCGTTGTGGATTTAAATTCTTCTTGGGACCTGATATAAGCACCAATTCCTGCTGCTGCGAGGGTCACGACAGCGACTCGAAGCCAAGGGCGTTGTTTTGACGGCAACAATGCAGGGGAAGAGGAAGAGAAGGCATGGCGTCTCCGTATCCGACCAACCGACCTATAGAAGGGAAACGGTGAATTGAATAGAGATAAGGTCCGAGCCGATGTTCTTGGCTTCATGGGATCGTTGGGGGTGGGAGAGAAAGAAAGAAACGGACGGGCTATCTTCATAGTTCACTCAGTAATTGCGGAAAAGATCTGGGGGCACGAGGACGCTAGGCCTGATTTGGCAGAACGACGATCTCTCTTCTACAGCACTGAAGCTGGTCTTCTTCTCTCCTTGTTTCTCTCAGCCAAAGGACGAGAGTTACTTGCGATCGCTTCTGTGTTCATACAGAAGGGTTTACAAATAAGCAAGGAAACCTCGTTTTTCGTTCTCTATTCGTTGTCGCAATTAACCTGGCATGGATTGTTTTCATTGAACTCCCGCTCTTATTACTCTTAAGCCCGGACTCCTTTAAACCACAATGGTGTTTTTGAACTCCGAAAGCAGGCCGGCTAATATCCATGCGCCTCGAGATTCACTAGAGCTCGCCTCTCTCGCCTCCTCCTCGCCCGAATTAGACGCAAGGTCCTCCAGCTCCTCCCCCTCCGGTATTTCGTCCTCCCGAAAGCTCTCCCTCGAAGATGAGGATCCTCTCTCGAATTCTCATGTACATTTAAATTTCAACTCTGGAAGGCCTAGATCTGCCCGTTCGTACTCGGTATCTTCTGCGTTCGATTTCGGGAGAACACTATATCCCCTGTCGCAGACGGCTGGGGGGTATGCTCCGTTAGGCGCGCCTTCAGCGCTGGACCGTGAAAGCGGGACCGCCGATGGTTCATTAGAAAGGAACAAAACGTTAACGTACATGAATGGCCTATCCCTTGTGGTCGGGTTGATCATTGGCTCAGGGATCTTTTCATCGCCGAGTCAGGTCAATGCCAACGCGGGGTCCCCTGGTGCGTCCCTCATTGCATGGGTAGTTGCAGGCCTGCTGGCATGGACGGGGGCGGCCAGCTATGCAGAACTAGGGGGAGCGATTCCTTTGAACGGTGGCTCTCAGGTATACTTAGCAAAGATTTTTGGAGAGTTAGCAGGTTTCCTTTTCACCTGGTGTGCTGTTCTTGTGCTGAAGCCAGGCAGCGCTGCCATTATTGCCATCATATTTGGAGAATACGCTGTTCGAGCTGTAGTCGGTGCCGAGGTCGAGCACGTCAATCCCTGGATTAACAAAGCCGTCGCATTTGGAGGTGTCTTGATAGTGACCTTGCTGAACTGTATTTCTACAAGGTTAGCCGCACGCATCGGTGACATATTCATGTTCTTCAAATTCATCGCCTTGCTTGGAGTCACCATCATTGGCGTTGTCGTGGCAATCACGGGCCTCTCATCAAATGGCAGTGCAAATGAGGAATGGAAGTCTGGCTGGTTTAAAGATACTAATGTTGACATATCAGCCTGGGCGGTCGCTTTGTATGCCGGCCTTTGGGCTTTCGATGGCTGGGACAACGTATGTGATATTTTCATTTCTATAATCAATTTTCCATACCTGGATCACCGTCGCTGATAAGGTGCAGACTAATTACGTGACTGGCGAATTCAAAAACCCCAATCGTGACCTCCCGCGTGTACTTCATACTGCTATGCCCCTGGTCATTCTCTGCTATATCCTCGCGAATATCTCCTACTTCCTAGTCCTACCGCATTCGACCATTGAGGCCAGCAACACCATCGCTGTTCAATTCGGCGACAAAGTGTTTGGAAAAGCCGGTGCTCTCGTGTTCGCGCTCATTGTTTCTGCGAGCTGCTTCGGGGCGCTCAATGCGACGATTTTTACCAGCGGGCGATTGGTCTATGCGGCCGGCAAGGAAGGTTATCTACCTTCAATATTTGGCCACCTCTGGACTCGAGCATCTTCCACGAGCAATCGACTGCAGCGCCGGTCATGGGCTCGCCATTTTGTTTCGCGCCTTTTTGGTGGGCACTTTCGAATTGGATACACACCCATCAATGCCATGGCTTTGAACAGCGCGCTCACCTTGGTGTATGTCATTGTCGGTGAATTCAAAACCTTAGTCACCTTCTACGGTGTTGCGGGCTACACGTTCTATTTTCTCACCGTCCTAGGCCTAATTGTGCTCAGGATTCGAGAACCGTACCTGGAGCGACCGTACAAAACATGGATCTCAACTCCTATCATCTTTTGCTGTGTTAGCATTTTTCTTCTCAGTCGAGCGGTCATTGCAGAGCCCTTGCAAACCTTGATAGTTGTGGCCTTTATTGTTGCTGGGGTTCCGGTTTACTACTGGCGAATCTATCAGCGTGATGGTCAGATTACATTGCCAGTGTGGAAATTCTGGCAGGCAAGATGAATGTTCACGCGCGTTTCGCATCATTTCCCCTTATATTTTTCTAATACCTGACCTTCTTCTTCCTATACCCTATGGCCTTTGCCTTCTCCTTTTCTTCGTCCGGCTGTCGGGTCAAATTCGAAGTCTGTTAATGAAAACCAATGATACCAATTTCGATTGTGGGGCGTATGAATGAACAGCAGAAGTCTCTTGTTGTCAATAATACAAACCCAATATTCATGATAATGAGAAATTCATGTCCAGTATCGTGGGTATGTAATGCCTCTCTCCCCTCTCTCTCTCTCGTCGCCCCCTTCTTTCTCTAAAATACAACAGGAAACATTTGACAATGAAGAGTGGGCGGATTGTCATGTCGATACTTAATGATTTCTGCATATATAGCTTAGCATATATATAGCATATGCGGTTCAGGAGAACAGCATGGCTTGGCCCTACTTTCTATACAGCTCACCATAGTTGATTTTGTAACTGGAGCGGCTCCGGGTGTTTATAATATTGTGTAAGGGTCTAATGTAGCACTTAGGATGATGTTTGACCTTGATAGTTACTTTCAGTGCTTGCTTTCTTACAACAAAAGCACTAGAGAATTATTGGACATTTATGTTCACCGGACCCCACGAGGAAATAGCTTCATCTTTGTCGCAATGGACGTTGAAGGGGACCTATTCCCTTGGTATCCGTTCGTATGTGACTATTATCCGACCCGGCTAACCCATAGCTAACGATTATCTAGTATATGAACCAAACAATGACATTCTACGAATGACCATATGAGAATGAGCTTGTAAGTCATTACTGTTAACAGTTGCCTTTCTGACCCTAAAAGAGTGGATAATACCATTTATCTTGTCAAGTGCGGCCGAGGTTTGTATATCCCCTTTATGAACCAGTCTTTGGTTAATGCATCTGAAGTCAAGTTTCCTCTCAAGGTCTAGGATTATAATCCTTGACCAATGATGCCACTTCACTCGCCATCCTCAATCATTCAGGTCTCAGCAAATTAGTTTCAGCTCACTAATTATGTGGAAATATGTTCGAATCGCGATATTCATAGGCTGCACCACAAGCTGATACAAGACTGATGGGAGGAGGGCAACAGATCCAATGTTATTGTTAGTATCTTCGCGCGAACGAGAGCAAGCCACCAGACAATGGCAAAATATCCCCCAAGTCAGATACCCTTAAACAATGTCCTTCATAGCACTAAGTAATATCTTCGGTTGGAACGTGAAGGGTTTCAGAGGTGTGCTCGATAAGCTATTTTTTCCGAGGTGAGGGCAGGAACAGGCTAAGCTTGGACCCTCAGCAGTCTTTCAGATAAAGGAAAGCCTAATGGTGGGCCTGTTGATTGTCTAGTAATTGTCCATTCCTATCTGTTGTGAAGCTAGGTAATGGCGATAGAAGATGTCCTCCTTCAATATCAATGGTCATAACGCGTCATATGTACATTATATATTTGTACAAATCATGCGGCTTCCAGTCCATCCCACAGATCCGCTTGCAGGAGAACAGCAGGAGTCTGTTTCAAATTTGATGCACTCGGGTCTAATTCAGCAAAAAATCGTAGACAACTGGCAGACTCGACACATGGCGTGTAAATACGTGTTGAGATGACTGTTCTTTCATTTACAAAGACCTCTAGCACGTTCCGGTCGAGAAATGCCTGGATCCTAAGTGTCTCTTCTTTCTCCACGCCGTTTTCATCTGCGAAAGTAAACAAGGTATGGGGTGCGATCTCTGGATTATGGTTGATGTCCGGATCGTAAGGAGGGGGTCGGTGGATCGAGAATGTCTCACTACATGGTGCCCATGCTAGGATGGTGCCATTGCGAGGATCTAGGAATCTGTGTCAGTCGCATAAGGAACAGTAGAAAGCTATGTTGGCTAAGGTAATTGAGACAAACCCTCAACCCAGGCAACGAAGACCTACCTAAGTCATGCTGGATCTCTATCCCCACCAGCTTGCACAGCTTCCCAATTGCAAACTCGGCCTTTAACTCCCACCTTGATGTCGTCAAGGATAAGCAATTGCCACAACGCTTCCGGTCCCATAATGCGATATTCGCAATGCTCTGGACTTCCCTGCGAAGTTTCTTGAGTCTCTGGTCGGGCTCAATGCCTAACGTCCGGACTGTAAAACTCCCTTCGCCGTTCGGTTCCTTCTCAATAGACGTAACATCGCTCAGGTTTGAGCGACGTGTCTTTGTAACATTGCGCAATGTCGCCAGCTTTAGGATGCGTGGGAGAGATATCACACCACTCCACCCTTGTTGATGCCGAATATTATCCGGAAGATCCTCTTCCGTGATCCAGCAATAGACGATGTATTGTGACGTGACCGGATCCCAGAAGGAATTGGCGGCGTAGGCGCATCCATGATCGAATATTCCAGAAAATGCATAACCTGTGAGGGCGTCTATTGGCTCGCACTTCGGTTGTTCAGGGCGCGGATCTACGGCCATCCATAGCTGCGATCGAGGGACCCTCTTTTGCTCCCTATCAGACACCAAACACCCTTCTACGCCCATAATAATAAAGCTTTTCGTGGCTCCTTCATCGTCGGTCAGTACTACCCAGTTTGCAGCTTCCCAGTTTACCCCCAGGTCGCCCGACCACCTAGATGGCCGGAAGTTCAGCCCAACGTTGACCAGAGGTCCCGCATACTTCCATTCTCTAAGATCATCAGGATTGACTGAGTAGACAAAGACTGTTGGTGTTCGCCCAGCGATTCCTCCAGAGAGAAACCCAGAGAGACTGGGAGGTGGTAATACGCCATTGTCATGTTCGCTTTGCTTTGCTGCCCACATTCCTATATAAGGGTCTCTCCAAGCAGTTACATTAAGACCGGGAGGAGGCGCCGGTAGAATTGGGTTGGAGTCTAGGCGCTGCCATGTTACACCATTATCCCGCGAAACAGCTATACTGAGCGACTCGCTTCCAACCTTATAGGGCAACGTATAATGTAAAGGCAAACGCCTGACCGAAGTGTATATATATGTCAGAGCCCCGGCAACCCCATTGATATTAGAAGGCCGGAAGCAGCCTGTGAATACGCCGCAGCTATCGTACTCGGTTGACGGTGTTAGACATGGCTCCGGGGACGTCTTCCAGGATATTAGGTCCTTTGAAACTGAATGCCCCCAGGATATGTTTCCCCAATCGTTGCCTTTAGGGTTCCATTGAAAGGATAGGTGATATAGGCCAGTTGCAGGGTCATATCCAAGGCCGCAAGGGTCGTTTAACCAGCCGTGGGGAGCGGTTAGGTGAAAAGATGGGCGCGAGTGTAGAGCATGACGGGAAGACGCAACCTGCCGTTCACATGATAAAGAATTATCAACCAGGTTAAGATTGTACGGTTGGGCCTGGGGCACCAAATTGGCAGGGATTGCCGCCCCTTCGCATCCTGCGAGAACTTGCATGTCTACCGTTGTGGTTTGATTCGGCTGGTTATTAGGCGACTAGTATAGACGGGGAATATAGCCAACCGAGAGCCCAAGCCCGAAAGTGTCTCCTGCGAAATCAGTCTCTAGCTCAGCCCCTTCGTCGCAAGGACCTCAGCTGATTGGAAGATAACGCCGATCGATTGGTGAGACACACACGTCTTGATAGCTTGGCTGGAAGCCTACAGTCCCTAGGGTGTCGGTATGTATAGACGGTTGTTGCGATATCAACTGTGGAAATATGGGGCTTTTGAAAAGCTCTGTACAAAGAAATCTTCTAGCAGAGGCACTGGTCTGCCTTGCGGTATTTGTCTCGGAAGGCAATTGTCCTTCGTTTTAATAATTATCACCACCGGTTGAGAAGCGGACGGAGGATTCTCGGAGAATTCGCCTTGGGGATTGATCCCACATGGACGACAGGCTCGGTCGAAGACCACACACTAGTTGTAAAATGATCGGCTAATCCATCCTGGCTGTTTCGCAAAGATTGATAAAACCGAAAAATCGGCGAGGTATTCTACTCCATACACAGGACAAAGTAGTATTCGCACACGGTGGCGGAACCTGCAACCGATGAATCTCACCTCCCGGAGTTCTGCTAAGCTGATTTCAGTACATCAGTTTTAGAACTTGGAAAAAAAAAAATCAAGTGTCAGTGGCAATGCTGTGAGACATATGAAAAACAACTGAAGTGAGTGCTATGTGCCTATAGGATAAGTATGGTATGACGAGGCAATCTCCTCCCCAGGTTTTTCGTATCTTTGTGAGCCTTTTCAACAAAATATCAGGGAGAGAATCATATCAAAACCAAAACAAGTTCGATATGACTTCAGATGAGAATGTCCGTATATACGCGTGTACATACATACATGCATACTAGTACATGGACACAGGAAGCACTGGTAGTACGTATGTAGTAAGTACTGCATGCAATGAGGGTCATGAGTTACTGCCAAGGTTATTCCAAATATAAAGTGTAGTCTATTGAAAATTGGGGTCTAAACGTCAGTGGATCCTCTTTATTTATTTTAGTATTATTATTATAATATTTTTTTTTCAAAAAAAAAAAAAAAAAACCTACTGTCCTTTTTAGACAATAGCCCTTCCTTACTAGTAGTTAGCCTAGTACCTCATACTAGTATTAGTAGTCGTTAGGTACGGTACTAGTAGGTCTGGACTTGTGTGGGACATACCTACAAGGCTTTAAGATAATTGGCTCTATTTTCCTTCAAATACGTAATTCTATGGTTAGACTTTGCCGGTTTCAGTCCAAGCATTGAAACTTTCAAGCGTCTTTTTGAGATGTGGAAACTGCAAAGCAATACAACGTTTAATTCCCACCTAAATCTCCCAAGATCCGGGGTCACGGTATATATCCCACACATACCCATGTCTCACCACGTCCCTTAAGGTCCTATGCCTCCTGATCCGCCGAGTCTCCAGACGATCCACGGCACTTACCTCCACCATTATCCGTTTTTTCAGTCTCAATCTCTTCGTTCTTTCTTATAGAGAGAAAAAGAACAAGAAGAAGAAAGAAAAAGAGCATCCACAAGAGAATAGAATGAAAACCCACAAAATAATCAACTCTTTGTTGTAGAGTTAATAGAACTCTTTTTTTGCTCACCTTGGCGTGCAAATGATATCGCTCAGGATGACCTGTCCGACTACAAAGTCAGGGGTAGACTCGGACATTCACTCGACTGTGGACAGCGACACAAGTGATGTGCAACATCTGGACCTGACCACTACCGAATCTCATCGTCCCTCGAAAGAGAGGACGGTTAATGCCTTCTTATTGGTTGCCTGTGTGGTTTTCGGGGCAGCGTCGTTCCTGTTTGGCTTTGATGATAAGATTATCTCGCCTGTGGCGGCGTTGCATCCTTTTGTAAGTCGACCTCTGACAGGAGTTAAGCCGCCAAATCCCACTAACAATGGAATCTACTCCTCAGGTTGAGAGGTATCAAGGACCCAATCCGAGAACCGGTAGATATACCTTAACCGCCCACAACCAGAACATTGTATTCTCGGTCCCGCTGATCGGTTCGATTCTCGGAGGTCTCGCAGCATCGCCTCTGAATTTCCGCTTTGGCCGAAAATGGCCCGTGTTAATGGCGTACGTTATCTCCATCAGTGGTGGATTACTTCAGGTCTTTGCCCCCAGCCTGGCGGCGTTCGTGACTGGACGATTTATAAATGGCATTGCCATGGGCATTGCCAATGGCACCGCTCCCTTGTATCTTTCGGAGGTATGCAATTTCAATGTACCAAATAGACCATATAATTAATGCCTTAACAGGTGGTTCCCGCTTCCATGAGAGGTAGAAGTGTAACATCAATCAATATCTTGAACGTGACAGCAGGAGTTATCGGGACCGTTGTAGTTTCTGAGACTAAAAAACGAGGGGGCAGAGAGTCATACTTGATACCGTTGGCTGTGCAGTGTGCTCTCCCTGTATTACTATTCATATGCACGTTACCTCTTCCTGAAAGCCCACAATGGCTTGTCGCTAAAGGGCGATTGGCACAGGCTCGTAGCAACCTGCGAAAACTCCGTGGCCTCAGCGAAGAGCAGGTCGACGTCGAGCTTGAGATAATGAAGCTCTGTGAACAAAAGGAACGTGAATTGAAGGCCAATGTAAAGTTCTGGGAGATATTCTCAAGGAAGTATCTCCACCGAACCCTGACAGCTGGATCGTTCTTCTCTTTGAACCAGGTCTCCGGTGTCATACTCTCGACGACTTACGTTACGGTTTTCCTCACCGAGATCGGTATGGAGGATACATTCACCTTAGATGCTTTCTCCTTGACGGTGATTGCATCTTGTTGTACCCTTGCCGGTACTATAGCAGCACCCTTCGTAATCGATCGAGTTGGTCGTCGTCCTACTGCGTTGGTGGGGATGAGCGTGTTGCTCGTTATTGACGCTCTAGCTGGAGGTCTAGCATTCAGCAAAGACAAGCGCTCTGGTGTAGCAATTGTCGCATTATCTCTAACTTTTAACTTTTTCTGGGCCTCGTCGTTTTCTTCATTGTCGACCTTGATGCCTTCAGAGATGGCCACACCCAAACTCCGTCACCATACCATGGCCTACACCATTGCCTGCGCTCAGACAACCGCAGTAATTACTACGCTTGTCGTCCCTCGGCTGACCGCGCCAGATGCAGCAAACCTAGGCGCGAAGACCTATCTTATATTCGCTGGCTGTATGTGCTGCATTGTAGTCTTCACATTTTGTTTCCTACCTGAGACCAAAGGCCGCACCTTTGCAGAGATTGATGAAATGTACGACGCAGGTGTTCCGGCCTGGAAATGGCGGACATATGAAACTTCATTTGAATTAAGGACAGATCCGAATCCTTCGAAGCCCCGTCCCAATGTTGCTTAGCATCGTTTAATACATTATCCTCATCATCGTGTATCTATATAATACAGGTTAGAACTGAGATGTATATTAACTCCCTGCATTCGACACATCCCCGTCCGGTCGTAATCTGGGTATACATTGGTACACTTGATCTAACTATAGCATGTAATCAAGAGCCACTACTCAAGTTAGCTCCGTCTTCAATAATCGGCGAATAATCCGACTCAATATGTCTCTTCCATGAGACCCGAGGGAGAACTCCTTGCATGCCTTCAATCGGGACACCACCAATACGCCAAAGCCTAGAAACGAGAAAATCAAATCAAAGATAACACATAAGCAACAATCAAGCACCGCTAGGGGTATGTGCTGTTTGAACTTGTGAAGACCAGTTACTATAAGTGTTGCTCCGGATGTTCGAGGCGCTCAAGAAGGCCTTGTATCTTTCTAGGTAAGGATGATTCCCACCGCGAAGGCTATTTAGCAAAAGTAGAAAGTCCTCCGCTAGGGACTGAGGCAGCGTGGTAGCGGCGCCTGAGTGCATGGATCCTGGAAAACTTGGTGGCGAGACGCTTGACTTCGACATCGATTCGGTTACGGGAGGTACCAGAGGGAAACCATTCCCCAGAGACAGCTGGACATTAGACGATACGCTGATGGCACTGACAGCGATGTCATACAATTTTTCGACCTAGTTATATGAGCCACGGAACCGAATGTAATTTACGAATAACTTCTGACTCACGAGGCCTATCCCATGTGCTTCCATGGAGCTCAGTCTCAATGACTGGCAGATTTTGAGCGTATCCTTTGCGACAGAAATGCAGTAGTTGAAACAGAGCTCATGGTGGTCGGACGAAGGCTTCAGTAGACCATGGGTGGAGCATAGAACCCATACGCGGTTCTGAAGCCACTTCTTGGTGATAAAAACATCCGCACACTGCGTTTCTCTCAACCCCATCGCTGGCTGAGTGTTACGAGTCTCTCCAGAAGCTGATTTCGTGCGTTCAAACCAGTCATATCCCTTATATCGTTCAGACTCGCTAACTCGACTAAGATTTTGGTGGATGGCCAAAGCTTTCGCTTCGGTCAGCTTTTCACAATAACCAGAGTCGATGCTGCACCGCCGGTTCCAGCAGTCGACGACATCCTCGTCCACAGCATCAAAGAGCTCCATCAAACGGGCTAAACCCATCATTCCTTCAGCATCTTTCTCATTATGAACTATAATCCCGGAAACAAGACTATGCGTGGCATTATGAATAAAGTCATGCACAGAACGCATGCTAAAACCAGGCTTTCCCCAAAAGGTAATCGGATGCCTACGCTGTAATGCATACGCTCTTTATTGGATGTCAGCTAAGTAAGAAAAGTCAGGTTGGTAAAGTGCGTAAGCGATACATACCTCTCCGTTATAGACAAGACTAAGTAAGTTCGCAAACGCTGGCCCTTTTCGTCACCAGGTAGATCGCGATAAGAATTTGGGTCGTTCAACCCCAATGTAGCGGCGAGATCTAAAGCCTCCCTTAGACGAAGCCATGCTGCGTTGTGCTGATTACTACCGAAAAGGCATCCGAATAGGAAGAAGCTTGTGAGGACGGCCTCGATAGTCGGATTTTCGCCAAAATCAGAGCAGCTTCTCATTCTTGTAGCTTCGGTCATCATTAACCTGGCCTGGCCAGCTCGAGATTGAGAAGTGGGTCGCTCATCTATCTCAATGGGCTGGGTAAGCGAGAAGGCGCACAGCGACAGCAACATCGAGCCAAACTGAGGATTTTTACGATGTTCATGGGATAACATCCGGATGAACAACGAAGACCGATTTAGCACTGGCAAAGTCGGGTGCAGACGATCAAAATAGACGTCAATCCATGGAATCATGTTTGCCTCCACGATCGACGAGGGCCATAACGCTCTCGTATGACTTGGTTCTTGCTTGGTAACATCCACATCCGGCACAGGAGCCGGAATGCTATGAGTTTCTAAACTCTGTGCTTGCAGACCCGAAGAGTCCGCATCATTCTGAATGATAGAGGGCAGAGATGTCCTTAGATAGATATTCGTGCCCGGGAAATCAAAAATGGGCATTTGAGCATCTAAATTATCCGGCAGCCAATACTCCACATCGTTTCTCTCATTCCAGCTTATCGCACTGTTACTGTGAGATGCCATAGACGAAGTATCTACACCCCAGCCAGGAGCAACCGCCGCCGTCGCATGGGGTTGCGCAAGGTCGACGGGCACGGAAACATCGCCACCTGGAATAGGCCATGGTGTCGCATCATGTCGACCCTCTTCCCGCGGGGGAGGCTCTGCTTGATATGGGAAAGTGGTAGGAAAGGCGCTGGAATTGACTTGGCTTTGTGAGGTCGGGGGATTTTTGCTTAACACATGGGTTTGTTGCTGCCGGATCTGCGATACACGACTTACAAAATGGTCAGGCTATGCAGCATTTCAACAAGTGAGTAGAGCATGATTCTAGTAAACTCACTGTCCAGTTGGACCCCGTTTCTTCTGGGGTTGAAAAAAGGTGCATTCAAAACCCATAGACACACATGCTTTACATGGTTGTGATAGACTACACTGTGCGGTATTAAGAAAGTTAGCATACCCACGACCGACCGTCCAAGCATCAGAAGTCAATCGCAGAAGGCGGGGTGCAATGAGATTAATAACAATCTGGAGAAAGGGAAGGGAAGTATTGCCTTGATCTTCCGAAATTTGCATTGGTCGCAGGCCCTTTTCGCTATAGCCCCCGATGTCTTCCTTCGGGATTCAGTCCGGATGGCACCGGTCATCGGGGGTGTCGTGGTGGCATCCGAGGTCGGGTTCATGATGGCATGTTCTCGGAGGGACAAAAGGGGCGATAGGGGACAGGAAAAACTAGCAGGTATGCGAGCAAGAGGGACAATCACAATGATATACCGGGATGAAACATTTCAATGCTTCACACTTGACTTCCCCGTCCATCAGTCAGCCTGTTATTCAAGAGAATGATAAACAACATGGAGAGAGAAGATGGATGAGGAAAAAATCGCCCGTCGTGGAGGCCCCGCGTGATGAATCCACTGTAACGTATTTGTCTCAACCTTAGTGCCATGACTTTTTCCAAGGTTGTTTTAAAGGGAAATAAAAATCAAAATAAGAAAAATAATGAAAAACTTCTACAAAGGCTAAAATCTTACGATTCTTATATTTGCTTTTTTCATAATATGTATAATGATTATTGTTATTATTCACATTTTCGAAGTTACAGATTTTTGATTTTTGATTTTTTGTAAAAACAAAAAAAAAGAAAAGAAAAAGAGAGAAAAATAACTACGATAGTCTCTGCGAATTCTGGGGTTTACGTTACAATTCCACATATATGACACAAATTTAACCATAACCAATTGACTGGTTTGTCAAATTGAAGCACTCTATATTTCTGTTTCTCTCTTCCTCCCCTTTTTATCATGATTTCTAGATAAATCAGCCTCCAAGTTCATGTTTATATTGCTCCTAACTGGATCCACCCACTAAGGTCTGGGTGAAACATTGCGATCCCGCACTGCGACTGGAGCCTACGGACCAGAGTAATACTTGTCTCCTTGCTGAGTATATATTATTGGAAACAAGATATGGCTGTGCCTATACCCAATCTGATTTAATACCTACAATGACGTCTCATAAATATATAGATAGTTGTCTCAGAATTTGTTCTCATTAGGTGGTTTTCTTTTCCTCGGCAATCATGCCGTTCCCCCAGTCGTCTCCACTCCAAAAAGGGTCCAACTAGTACTAGATAACTTTACCCCAAGTCGCGATTATCAAGATGATTGGGGTCACCACTGATAACCCCCAAAGTGAGATTACAGCCTAAATTCACTACTTGAACTGAATAATATATAAATGCTCTTAGAAGGCCGTGTCCTATAAGCCCATGGCCCGTGATTTAGTCTGTCTGGCAACGTGCATTCCCAACAATCTATCTGCATATACCGCTCTTGTGTAAAATGAACGACCCTCAAACATGGAAGCAAATTGCTTCTCGAAAACAGTACTTACAGAATGAAATGCTGAAACCCTACATGGTCTCCGATGTGGATCAACGGCTACCCCAGGTCCACAATGTCCAGGAACGTTCTCGTATCCATAGCGACCCAGAAATTCAAGAAATCACTGATATCGATAATATCTCTGTTCTGGTCAACCAATTCAGAACAGGCAAGCTCACTGTTGAGGCTGTTACTCTCGCTTACGTTAGAAGGTGACTTTTACATTGCCAACGCTCGTATTAAATGGACGAGTGCGGCTAATCTTTCTCCCCTTCACAGGGCTGTAATAGCACAACAATTGGTGGGTTATACCTATCGCAACGGGGCAGTTGCACGCAAATATTCACAATGACTGATAACATTAGACAAATTGTATTACAGAAGTGGTCTTTGAAGATGCTTTGACCCAGGCTCGAGCTTTGGATCGTACTTTTCAGGAGACTGGGCATCTTAAAGGGCCACTCCATGGTGTCCCAGTCACTTTGAAGGACCAATTCAACATCAGAGGTGTAGATACTACCTTGGGATATGTAGGGCGTTCGTTTGCTCCCGCTACAGAAGATGCAGCTCTAGTGCAGATGCTGAGGGACATGGGAGCAATTATTCTGGCGAAGACGAATTTGCCCCAAAGCATTATGGTTTGTCTGTTCGGATGGATTTTAACAGGTGTTCTGTTATGGGCTAATCTCAATCGAAGTGGGCTGAAACCGAAAATCCTCTTTGGGGCCTGACCGTCAACCCGCGCGATCCTAGGTTGACTCCAGGAGGCTCGACAGGGGGCGAAGCGGCTCTATTAGCATTGCATGGCACCCTCTTGGGATTTGGGACAGATATCGGCGGAAGCACCCGGATTCCGCAAAGTATTGTAGGCTTATACGGCTTCAAACCCACGGTAAGTTTTAGCCCTGGATTGACTGTTCAGGATGAAAAGTCTCATGCTGACTGCAAAGCAGAGCAGCAGATTACCATACTTAGGGGTCCCTGTCTCAACCGAAGGACAAGAGCACGTCCCCTCTTCCATCGGCCCCATGGCCCGCGACTTAGACTCTATTGTCTATGTGAGTCGGTCTGTTGCTAACGCTAAACCGTGGGAGTTGGACCCGAAGTGCACCCCTCTTCCGTGGAATGAGGATATGTTCCAGGAGATACAAGATCGGCCCATAGTGATCGGTTTGATTCTAGATGACGGGGTGGTGAGAATCCACCCCCCTATCGAAAGAGCCCTCCGTGAATTATCAGCAAAAATACAAGCAAAGGGCCACGAAGTTGTCATCTGGGATGCTTCAGATCACATTGAATATATCCAACTCATGGATCAGTACTATACTGTTGACGGCGGCGAGGATATCCGTCGTGACGTTGCTGCCGCCGGAGAGCCGTTCATTCCACATGTTGAGGCACTAGTTAACCGAAGCAAGGCTATTTCCATATATGAGTATTGGCAGCTCAACAAGCAGAAGGTTGCACTACAGAAAAGATACCTTGATAAGTGGAATGCGATTCGGTCTCCATCGGGGAAGCCAGTTGACATTCTCCTAACTCCCACTACACCGCATCCAGCTGTTCCACACCGACGACTGCGGTGGGTTGGGTATACTAAGATCTGGAACTTGCTCGACTATCCAGCTGTCACCTTCCCTGTTGATGAAGTAAGAGTGGCTATAGATGGCGTACAAAAGGAATATCGGCCGAGGAATGAACTGGACGCATGGAACTGGGATCTTTATGACGTAAAGGCTATGGAAGGCCATCCCATCAACGTCCAAGTCATCGGAAAGAAACTTAATGAGGAAAGGGTGCTGGGGGCTGCAACCGTTATCGAGAGACTCTGGAGAGATCTCTAATTGTCATAGTTGGGGAAGTTAGCAATGTGCTTGTGTTTATGTCTCACAATTTCATTCAAGCAATTTTATCAGTCTACACCCCACTGTAGAGTTTAGGGGGCTCGGGCTTACTCTGGCTTGGAGTAATCTCAACAGGTTTGGGGTAGGTGCCTCTAGAACGTTGGAGTAAACTTATGAGAATGAGGGGTAAGTTATGATAAACACACGGTGGGCTACTTGATACCGATGGATATGGTATTACTACAGTTGGCATACTACTACTACTGCTACTGCTACTGCTACTGCTGCTAGGAGGTAGGTAAGTTCACGTTATCCATGTCCTAGCCACGAGAGGGTTCCCCACTGCCAAGTACTTATACAACTACGGCTATCGTGGAAAGGGAGCGTTTGTATTGATTGATTGACTAGCCAAAACCCGTTGGATTCATCTTGAACTCATGTTGTGTCTGAAAGGACCTCGTGTTTTCTGTTTAATCACTATTTTAATTCCAGATATGGCCGAGGGCCAAATGAATGATTGAATTTTATGCAATTGGGGGGAGGGGTTCGCTTATATAGTAAGATACCTGTGTGTAGATCAAACATCATTGGTTCAACGCCTATAAACACCGCAAAATGCCGGGTTCCCTTTCTTCCAGTCTGATCACGTTCTTGGTGTCTCAAATAGCTGAGGTTTCATGTTGATCTTGCAAAGCTTCGCGATACAGCCACTTAATTGGAGCAATGATTGAACACCGTCTAGGATACGCATGTGTGTAAAGCCTATCTCCCGAATGAATTCTAGTTTAGAGTGTTCCGATAATGTCGGGATCGTCTTCGTGACTCGGAACATTGTGCTAATAATGTCATGGGAAGAGTAACCGAGGTCCCTATAGAAGAAGTAAGCTTAGGTATAAAAGACCGTTCCATCACGCATCATATGAACATACCATAGCTCGTTCAGTGTTTCTAAGGCAACATCTACTTTCCCTTCCCAGCAGGCCTTAACCATTGCTTGAACTTTGATAGGATGGGGACTGTCGACAACTCGAAAGACGTTATCACCGCTGACAAAGCCGAAGCCTGACCACGTACTTTGCAAATTGTTAATGGCCTGGCGCATGTCTCCTTCCGCACTAAACACCAGGGCCGCAATTCCGTCTTCTGTGTGTTCCACTTTTTCGGCCTCGCAGACCTGTTTTAGCCGTTTGACAACCTGCCCATCAGTCAACCGAGCATAGCGAAGAATGGCGCATCGAGACTGGATGGGTTCTATGATTTTATTCGATTGGTTACAGGCAAAGGCAAATCGCGTGGTAGAGGAGTAGATCTCCATGGTGCGCCGCAACGCCTGCTGAGCACCTGGCGTCATACTGAATCGCGATCAGTAACTAAGCTAAACAAGTATGCCAGATGTAGGGAGTTTATGTGTACCTGTCTGCTTCATCAAGGATTACTATCTTATGACGACCTGGTGGCAGTGTGACTTTCTTCTGGGCAAATCCCTTGATTCGATTCCGAACGACATCAATACCTGGGGCTCCATTAGCCGTTGCCTGTCATAGTTCGTGGGCGAAGAACTTCATACCTCTCTCATCACTAGCATTCAGTTCCAAAACGGCTTCCTTATACGCATCACCCAGTAATTGGCGTGCTAGGCATAGAATAGAAGTGGTCTTTCCGATACCTGGCATGCCTGAGATAATGACGTGTGGCATATTGCCATCCTTCGCGATAATCTTCAGTCGTTCAATGGTTTCGGTGTTGCCAACAACATCATCGAGAAAGACTGGACGGTACTTTTCAACCCTATGGATAATTGTTCGTCAGAATTGGTCATCCCATCGAACAACAATGATTGCATTTATACCATGGCAGCTCATAATCAGGGGGTGCCCCCGCTGTGACGGGCTTGAGGCCATCGCGAGCAGCACTTGATGAAGATTCGGCTTGAGCCATTGTACAGCCGTTCTGATAAGCCCAGGGACTTGTTGTTAGGTTTGGATTGTCTCAGCAAGCAAAAGCTGGTTTGCTGGAGGGACGCGAAACTCGCACAGAGACGCGTCGGGATGCATTTTAACCCAATTGGGATTGATAAGGTCCCGTGCTCTTCTTGGCATGGTACAGCTAAGTAAGTACTTGAATACGGCCAAGTCCCATATAATGATTACCAGTGGTAGATACGGCTATACATATTGAACGGAGATACGACAGTTTCTGTGCTACTCGGTCTGCTATCGTGACTGGCAACAATTCCAAGGCATGAAGCAATGATAAAAGGGGAGACTCTGGCCAGTTGCCAAGTGCACTGGTGCTAAGCTACCCGCCCCACTTCTATTTGTTCAATACCTTTCTTCAAATGCTGCAAGTTCGACTGATGTTCACTTCTTTGTACCTTATACTTATGGCTCTTCCTAATTTTTATCTTAATAGTCTTAACTGTATCTCTACAAGGAACCCATCGTTATTTACTCGCTTGGTGTTCGCCTGAACTCCGAGGCAATAAGCTGCACTCAAGCTCTGTTCCTGTGCTGAAGAAAACAGGGATAAAGAGGAAGAAACGATAAAGGGCTCTACTTATCGCGTCTCTCATACTTCGCCGTATACGGCTTCCTGGATATTAATTCCACGATGGGAACGACATCCGTCCGCCGCAATCTTTTCCACCACCATCTCAGCAAACGCTCTGTATCAGCAGCTCCCCCCAATGCCTCGGTGCAAAGTGTTACAAAGGGCGGACTGCCCAGTCTCTCGTCCCATGCTATGTCATCTGCGTCATCTGAATCGACACAGTCGCTGGGCTCCGGCATGGTCGATGGCGGAGAGATCGTGGTTAAGGATAAGAATGGTGATTATAAACTCGACATTCCCGTTCTTCCGCCGGCCGTTGGGGAAGATAATGGGGACGAGATGGAGGGCATAGAGGGTGGAGCTACTAGAGGATCTGGAGCTACGGGGGCTGATTCCACAGCACAGACGGAAATTAGCGGACGCGAGAAAGAGAGTAAGTTTACTTCGACTATCCGTACTTTATTGGCCGATAACAGACTGATCGTGATTGACCTAGAGATCGAGGCAAGTCTAGTAGAGATGATGTACCGGAGTCAGAATAGGCAGATGAGCACCGAACCAGCTGGTAAGTTTTACCCTTATCCCCCACGCGGTTGGATCTGGTTCGATTACAACTGACAATTACCTCAGAAATTCTGAATCTCATTCATCAGAGCCTTCGGAACAAAGTGGCCTCCCTGGATGAAGATAACTGGATATACGAACCAGAACCCGATTCGCTGTTCTAGTTGATGCCACTTACATCATGTATGGTTATCTTCGTGGCAAGCTGTGCATAATAGGCCCAATCTGGACACAGCACGGGTAGGTACTGCCTTCAGTTGAATTAGTCGAGCTCCGGATTTGCTGGTGGCGCTTCGACTTTCTTGGATGAGCCTCGGCTCTGCGGCATCCTTCCACCTGTACCGCCCTGTCCCCCTCCGAACAGCATGCTACCCATCATATCCAGTAAAGGGTTGCCCTGTCTTGGGATCTTAATACTGAAATACTGCTCACCAATCTGAGCCAAGAAATCATCCCAGATGCCGACCTCTTGGATTTGCGATGCATAATGAGATGTTAACTGTTTGAAAAGGTCCGCGCTGCCACGCTGAATCGTGAGGAGAAGCATGCTGATGAAATTCAGCAGAGGCAATGCGGGATAGACTCGCACATCTGTACTAGAACTGCTAACATCCTGTGAAGGGAGGGAAGGATTAGAGGATGAAAGTCGGGACGTGAAGATGAGGAATGCTTTATTAGCACTGCGCAGATTTCCGGTCAGGAGGTACGGGAAAACTGCGCGGGATGCGTAAATCGCTGCCGTGTGCGGTTCGTCATTTGTATACCAATCGTGCTCTAACTTTGCCAGGGTCTCAGCTGATTCTGAGGTTCCGAGGATCAGATGCTTTTCAGCGTCGTAGGGTTCATGGTCTAGAGCAATTGGTTAAGAGAAGCATGGATATATTCCACCGTCATAGCTTTACATACCTTCGGCATACACCGATCCAGCTGCGTGATGTAATTCGGGGTCACCTCTCTCTAAAGGTCCAAACCGTCCACTCCAGCCAATCATCTCTTGTATGAACCTTTTGCGAGTTGGTTCCTCAGATGGGAACTCGTGTAGAAGCTCAATCAGACGTTCTGCAATTAGGCAAAATTGTCAACTTGGTCCAAGCTCAACTCTCACTGTAAAGCTTATACAGAGAGAAATGCCTCTCAAGACTTACTCTTTCGTGTGCGGCTTTCCGTATCATCATCACTTCCAGTAATCTCCCACCCCGCTTTTGTGTACACTTCGACGACAAGCATAATGGCCAAGTCCCCGCCACTGGCAGAAGCGCCTTGCTGAGACCCGGCCCTTAAAAGTGCAGTCGCACCCCCTGCCAATAACTCCGCGGCTGCATCGTAATTCGCTTGTTTGATATACCGCGCAGCGATGACCCTCAGTTGCTGATGAGCCTCGTAGTAGGCACCGGAGGCTATCCTGCAGCCGCCAAAATAATTAGCTCCATGCTATGAAAAGCTTCCCCCGAGATGGAATTGATGTAGGAGCAAGTATGCGAGCTCCGTGATGTTCTTACTTTTCTCGTTGCCGAGCAATAGTCTTCTCGATACGTGAGGTCATCCTGCTTCGTGTTCAGTGCAGTGAAATATTTTGGAAACAGCGAGATAGGCGGAAATGAAGAAGACAAGTTGAGCTCGGCAATAAGATATGGTGGCAAGAGAAAGGACAACTGAGTGAGTGTAGGTGTCAGACGGAAGTGAAGAAGAGGGGTGAAGTGGGAAGTGGACTCAAAAGAGTCGGGCAATACAGTAGTAGCTACTGAGAGTTTAGTGGGACACTTCGGCTCTCAAATCCAGAACGCTGGAGGGATGAATAGAATCAAAGTACGGAGTACTGTATGTAGTATTCCGCATGCTCGCGTGTTCTTTGACACGGTCCGACTAAACCCAAAAAAATAGAATAGCATGACATAACCCCGTGAACCATTGGCGAAGCTCATTTATGTTACTTTTCTTCAATGTTCGTCGCAGATACGGCGCTAACCCCATTCTGGGAGAATACTGGCCAAAGTGACTTCTGTAAGGAACGCTGCCAATTATATATGTACAAAGCACAGCTTGGTACTCTTCTTTACCTGAACTGCCTTTGAAGCTCTCCTGTTCCAGTTGCATGTCTGGGTAGACGCCATAGTTGTCCATTTAACCTATTCTTAGATGTTACGATCAGGTTCTCTTTTTTTTCTTCTCTTTTTTTTTTCTCTCATATTTGACTTTTACTAGCCACCATTCTTCCTTTTATCCATCTTCAGCCCTTTCTTTCCCCTAGCTGCAACGTACTATTGATTATTCGCTGTTGATCTAATTAAAGCACTAGTATACTTAAAATACATCAATAAGTGTTATGAATCAAGGCGCTTTTGACATACAGCCGATTGGCCGCTTCTATGGATCCAATACTACGATTCGCCGTCCAAGGGTAGGTTTGACGTTCCTTCCTGCATGGTTTCGATAATGTAAACATTGCGCAGGAGATCACTTGCTTTTCATATGACGACCAGCACTCCTTTCACTTAGGGGATTCGTCCCTACGATACTACTATCCGCCACATCTTCCTGCAGACTTGAATCACGGTTATGATACTTTCCAAAAGCTGGATGATTCAGCAGATGAGCATCTAGATGCTCTACTAGAAACCATCATGGCCCTAGAAAAAGAGACAGGAAAGAAATGTGAGGCCGACATCATCACCTGGAGGGGAATGATGACCAAAGTAAGCTGCTTGATCAGGTGCTGGTATCCCAACTTCGACTCGTAAGTTAACACTGGCATTCATCTAGATCCTGACGGCGCCATTCGACAATTTGAATGGGTATGTAGAAATACCGATTGCCGCAACGTTACTCTTCACTCAATATCATATGTAGATTCGAAATGAATGCGACCCGGTTCCAAGTGAGTCTCATCCAGGGCGTATCCGGTCCGTTTCATGGTACCCCGAAGCTAACTATTGTGCCTCAGGACACCATGTAAGCACATTAGCATCGTCATACCATTATGTACTTTCTAAATCTAAGCGATGTCTAGATTTATTGAAGAGAACAATCTCTACAAGAACCAGCAAAAACAGTTACAAAAGAATCAAAGAATGCCCCCAGGGATGCCTTCTCAGGATATGATGGCCTATTGGGGTAGCGTATATGCGCTTCCTTCATTTTATTGTCAGTTGTTGATTGAATTAGGGTACAAATTCGAAACACTATCTCTTCTCAACCAGCCATGGGACTCAACGACCCGTGAAGAGATCGAATCCCGGGATGAGCTAGTTGTGAACAACAACGCCCAATACTGCTCAATTGTACGTACAGGAATAGGCAAGACGCGGCTGATAATCGGAGGCGAGGTTGATGCCGGTATGGAGACGACTGAAACTTATCCAAGCGCACATGCTAATAAGTTAACAGTTTGGGACTGCAAGCCTGCTCGAAAGGAAGACAGTATCCACTGGGTGGAACTCAAAACATCTGCAGAGATAAGGAATGATCGAGACGGTGTGAAATATGAGCGGAAACTACTGAAATTTTGGGCACAGTCGTTCTTGCTTGGTGTTCCTAAAATCATTGTAGGTTTTCGTGATCAGCGTGGTATCATCCATCGCTTAGAAGAGCTTGAGACTGCCAGCATACCAAATAAAGTCAAAAACGCTGGTAGGGGTACTTGGGACGGGAACATTTGCATCAATTTCACCAGTACTTTCCTCGAATGTAGGAACTCCCAAGGCGTTTGATATCCTGTATCGTATACTAATGAGCTTTAGGGTTAAAATCTACTATTAATGGGGACGGGATGTGGAGAATTCGAAAGCTCGAGAAGTCATCCATTATTGAAGTTTTCAGACTCGAAGAGAGTGGAACGGGTGATATAATTTCGCCATCATTCTCAGCCTGGCGGTCAAGGGCATGAGGCCTGCCAGTCCTAGGCCATGAGTTTTTCTCCATCCGCCCATTCAGATTCCAGGATGCTGAACTATTACATGCGTCGAAATTCAAGCCCAGTTTATCCACCGGTCCTACTTAAGATTTAGTAATACAGCGGGAGACTGGGACCGATTAACTAGCTATGGTAGTTATGCTCGCATTATGTGGTGCCGGTCAAGCACTTACGGGCAGTATGACAACGTTTGCAGGGTGTGGCCCAAATCTTCAATCACTATAGCGACAAGATTTACCACAGGAGCGTTTTGGCACAAAGGAGAGAGTATACAGAAGACAGAATCGGGAATGACAGGTCTAGGAACTTTGGGCTCAAATGGGGCTGGGTCGCGTTCATATGATGAGCCTTCGTGATCCTCCTGAATTCCATCATTCGAAATACTAATGATTAAACGTGGTTCAAAAGAGCAGAGGTGTTGTTGCTGTTACTGTTGATGTTGATAGTCGACCGAGCCAGGTAAATTTTGCGGCGACGGGTTCTCTTTGATAGATTCAAGTAACTATTGAAATAGGTCTGAAAGAATGCCCTGCTCTTCTAGTGATTCACTGCCTTGGTCACAAGATATCTTTCTCGTACTCTCTTTTCGAGCTTGTAGAGATACCTCACGTTCTGCTCTTTTGGCCATCGCTTTGAGGACTCGTTTATGGCTATGTCCATTGAGATGGATGTGCCACTGCTCTTCGTTTACCATTGTTTTGCGGCAAACATCGCAGGTGAAGCATTTAGCTGCGTAACCTGGACCATTTCGCGATTGAGCTTCTTTTGCCCCCAGGATGGTTCTTGCTAACTCCGAGAGTGACTTCGGGTCCGGAGCAGATTCGTCTCTGAGTAAGGCTTGAGTTAGGAGCTCGGATGGCTCTGTGATGCAACTCCCCCAATCTTCCACGTTTGTGCTATCTAGGAGGTAAAGGCGATGCGCTATACCGGTCTCTGCAAGGGTATTCCATAACTTGTTTCGAATCCATTTGACTTGCGAGGCCGAGTACTGGCGGGTAGCAATCTTGATAGACTCGATACAGGATTGTTTAAGGGACTCTAGTTCGTCAACGCTTAGGGAACTCTGGTGTAGCGCTTCAAAGTAAGGCGCTAGTTCCTTAAACCCAATGGCCACCCAAACGCCCCGTGTCGGATCGATGCTAGAGCCTTGTGCCTTTCTTTCTCGGATATAATCTGACATCTTCTGTGCTTCAGACATCAGGCCTTGCTCGATCATCACATCCACTCGTTTATTAAGTCGAGCAATAAGAGCCTCTTTCTCTGAATGAATCCAGAAAACCATCGTCGGAAACCGTAGCTGGCCCTCGCCCGCATTAGGGCCATCGTTGACGAAAGCTGTCTGCTTCAGGCGTTTTTGTTCGGCGTAGACCTCCGATGCAGGACGTCCCGTCTGAAAGTAGATCTCCAAGGAACGACGAATTTTTCGCGTGTCGTTTGGATGCCATCTGTCAGCCATGACCGGATCAACCTCTCTTAACTTCTGCAAGACTATGTCTGTCGGGGCGTCGAGAATAGGCCACTTTGTCGACGGTTCCTCCGTTTCTGCGTCGGAGCGTGTACCTGATCCCTGGAACTCGTCCGACCCCTCCCCGACCAGCTGGCCTTTGAATAACACAGCTTGTGTATAGTAGTGAGTACCGCCCACCAAAATTGGGAGTTTCCCTCTGGAGTGGATGTCCTTAATGATTCGAAGACATTCGCTCTTGAACAATCCTATGCGCCATGGTTCTTCCTCCAACTCGATGCAGCTGATTAAATGGTGTGGTATACCGTTCCGTTCATCCATTGGAATTTGATTCGTGATAATGGGGAGACCGCGGTACATTTGCATCGCATCTCCGTTGATAATTTCACCGTTGAAACGAGTAGCCAGGTCCACTGCAAGCTATCTGCAGTCATTAGCAATCAAGATTCCAGCACGATCATCAGCAATGCGATCACCCACCTTGGACTTGCCTGTACCCGTTGCACCGACTACGGCTATGAGGGGCTCCATGGTGGGCGGACGTCTAGCAAAGAAAGGGTACCGGAGAAAAGGGCGCATGAGAGACAAAATATCATTTTTGCCTCCGGCTAATCCCCTTGCTCGACAAAGTTACGGACGGCGTTAGCACGCCAACTAGAGATCGTAGTGAGGTTAATTTTTTTTTTTAA